TCACTGGCAACTGGTACGGCCGCACCCACTGTCTGCAATGTGGGCGAGACCCTCTCGGGCGGGTTGGCCCCCATACGGTCGGACAAAGCACAAGATCGAGGTCTGCTCGGGGAGGGTGCCCTGATGTTCTTCGTGCTTCGTGCTTGTTGGGAGGGCACCCTCGAGTGGTCTTCGGTTTGGCCGGCGGAGTGCTACATGTTCTTGAAGGATGGTTTTCTGTCTTAGGTCCGGCCGTACAGGACTTTGGTGTGGCTTGGCGAGGCGTCTCGACACCTGTCGCGTGCTTGCCATTGCGCGGGCGCTTCGCGATTCGGGATCGCCCGTCCCCTGAACTGGGGACGCAGTCCTTCACCAGCCGGCTATCCTAGGTCCAGCAGTACTCCAGCTGCAGCTGCTGACCAAGCTGCTGTGTACCTCGCCGTTCCTGGCAGCCGGGCTCATATAACCTCCAGCCGCCGCTGGTCAGCAGCGGACGGCATGGACGTGGGCACCGACGAGGCCACCGCTGCAGCCTACTGCAAGGCATCGCAAGGCTGTGGCGAGCCTGCGCTACCTGGGCTACTCGGACCGCCATGGGGGAAACGGGTCATGTGGAAGCTACGTGGTGTACGATCTGTGGCGTGAGCTGTGTGGTGCAATCGGTGCGGTGCAGTTCGCCCTGCCGAACTTGAAGTTGCCAACTCCGCTGCTCGCGCACCCACCCGCGACTTGGTTTGCAAAACCCACGCGGCGACGATTGTGATGGCTGCTTGGCGGTGGCTGGCGCATCGCTGCGGCCGCGCTAGCGTGCGCAGGCTCGCGCGCACAGCGGCCAGCTATTCTGGCGCGACCGACGCGGCCGTGGTGGCGCTGATTATTGGGGACTGCCCAGCACGTCTCGCAAGCCGCGCTGACGCGCGGGCACTTCAGTGCGAGTCGGTGACCTGGGCGGGCACGCTATCATGGCCACGCCGACAATGGCAAACACGGTGGTGATAGTAACGATGGTTATGACGATGATGACAACAACGACGGCAAAGCCACTGACGGCGCCGATGCTGATAACGCCGACAACGACAATGGTGTCAACGAGTCGGTCATGAAGGTTTTGGGTAAGTTTTGACATGCGCGCACGGCCGACGGGCCCGAGTTGCCCGCATGGTTTTATTTGACAGGGCTCGTGCCCCCAGGCACGGGCACAAGGGCCTTCGAATGATCTCGGCATGCGCGCGCAAGGGGCATTCTTGATCACATGTGATGCAGACGTTGGAAGAAAATTGCTGACGTTCGAAAGAATCCGCACGAACGTTTATACACACATGAAAGCTTAATACGTGTTCTCATATGTTGTCGGGAACTTCGATCGTGAACCCCCTTCGAAACTTCACGTATTGGGGGATTGTGGCATGCGCGCGATGGCGCGAGCGAACGGATTTTATCTCGATGTATGCATGTGGTTATTGGCGCTGTTAAGTTTTGATAAACGAACGAATGTGCGCACACAGTATGATTTGGCAGGGAAGAGACAGAGAGAGAGGGAGGGGGGAGTAGGGGCGGGTGGGTGGGCGAACGTGGCGTGGCTGGGGTAGCTTAAAGTCATTTTAACAACAAGCGACGGAGCATACTCACATGTCATTCCAGGTGGCACGGACAACCCCAGGTGGGGAGATTCGGTATATCTTCTCTGGAACAATCTATTTGTTGCAGATAGATGTGGCGCATTACATGTGGTGCGTTTTACGGGGCTCGCAACGAGTTGTCAACTCCAGTGCTCGCACAACCATCCCGCCCACCCACCCGCGATTTGGTTTGCAGAACCCACGCGGCAGCGATTGCGATGGCTACTGGGGGCTAGCTGGCGCATCGCTGCGGCCGCGCTAGCGTGCGCAGGCTCGCGCGCACAGCGGCCAGCTATTCTGGCGCGGCCGACGCGGCCGCGATGGCACTGACTATTGGAGACTGCCCAGCGCGTCTCGCAAGCCGCGCTGACGCGCGGGAGCTCCAGTGCGAGTCGGTGACCTGGACGGGCGCGGTATCATGGTGACGTCGACAACGGCAGACACGATGATGATAGTGGCGATGCTTCGTGGTGATGTGGGTGTGCGTGTGCGTGTGGGTGTGCGTGTGGGTGTGCGTGTGCGTGTGCGTGGGCGTGGGCGTGGGCGTGGGCGTGTGCGTATGCGTGTGCGTGTGGGCGTGTGCGGGTGTGAGTGTCCGTGCGCGCACGTGTGCGTGCTCGTGTGCGTGTGCGCGTGCGTGTGGGTTTGGGTGTGGGCGTGGGTGTGGGTGTGGGTGTGGGTGTGCTTGTGTTTTTGTTTGTGTGTGTGTGTTTTGACCCGCATGCCGGGGGGGGTCATCGGGCCTCGGGGCCCGACGCCGCCGAGCCGGGCGATGTGCCCCACCCACCCACCCCTCCTGCGAGGCGCAGGGAGCGGAGGAGCAGGCGCGCGGCGCGGAGGCGCGGCGGCGCGGGCCGCGCGGGCCTCCCGGCGGGGCGACGGGGCCGCGGGAGGAAGCCTAGCGCTGCGCCGCCGCCGCTGCCGCCGCCGGTCCTGCGCACGGCCTGGGGGCGAATCCCTCGGAAGCTGCTTTTTCTCACTCCTCCTCGCCACCTTCCTCCTCACTCCTGCTCCCCCTCCTCCTCCTCCTCCTCCTCCTCCTCCTCCTCCTCCTCCTTCTCCCTCTCCTCCTGCTCCTGCTCCTGCTCCTGCTCCTACTCCACTCCTATTCCTACTCCTACTCCTATTCCTACTCCTACTCCTACTCCCTACTCCCTACTCCTACTGCTACTCCGACTCCCACTCCTACTCCTACTGCTACTCATACTCCTACTCCCACCCCTACTCGTACTCCTGCTCGTCCGCCTCCGACCGCCTCCTCCTTCTCCTGCTCATGCTCCTCCTCCTCCTCCTCCTCCTCCTCCTCCTCCGCCTCCTCCTCCTCCTCCTCCTCCTCCTCCTCCTCCTCCTCCTCCTCCTCTCCCTTCTCCTCCTCCTCCTCCTCCTCCTCCTCCTCCTCCTCCAGACGCTGCCTCTTGAGCTCCTCGTTACTCCTTCTCCTCCTCCTCCGCCTCCTCCTCCTCTGCCCTCCTCCTCGTCCTCCTCCTCCTCCTCGTCGTCCTCCTCCTTCTTCTCCTCCTCCTCCTCCGACTCATTTTCGTCCTCCTCCTCCTCCTCCTCATCATCATATTCGTTCTCCTCCTCATTATCCTCGTCCTCTTCCTCATCTCCTCATCCTCATCCTCTTCCTCCTCCTCCTCCTCCACCTCCTCCTCCTCGCGGGCGACTTCAACATGGAGCCTGCCGTCATCCAGCCTTGGTTGAACTCGGTCGGCGCCGTGCTCTTGGCGACGGCCGTGACCACCTGCAGGCAGGTTCTCCCCAGCACCAAGCTAGACTACTTCGGGGTGGACGCTAACCTGCTCTCGAGAGCAGGATGTCCTTCGGTGAAGGAGTGCGCGACGACGTACCCGCACAGGCCCGTTGACCTGGATGTACTGGGCAGCGACAGGGCCCTGTGGTGCAGGGCCCCGTGGGAGCCGCGCGCCCTTCCCGCCAGGCCAGCGCCCGGGTGCAGCCGGTACCCGCGGGACTGGGGCGGCCACCCAGGCCTCCATCGCGTCCGCGCGAGCCGAGGCCGAGCTCACATGTGGCGGCGTCCTGCGTGGCATCGAGGAGGAGCGCTGCGATGGCTACGATCTGGTCGGAGCCGCGGCCTCGGCGAAGGTTGGCCGCGCTGGCCCTCCGAGGTGTCGCTGGGTGCAGTGCCGGAGGCAGCCGCCTAAGAAGCGGTCGCCTGTGCGGGGTGCGCCCGCAGACGCGTGAGCGGTCGCAGCCAGGTGGAGTCGCCACCTCCGCCGCGTTGAAGCACGCCTGGCCCAGCAGGTGTCCGCTCTGGAGAGGCAGGGCGCTCGCAGCTGGATGCAGGCTGACGTTCAGAGACTTGTCCAGCTGCTGTACGACACGTGAGCGCTTCTTCGGCAACGTGTTACACCAGCAGTGGGTCGTTCGCCTAGTGGATCCCGCGGTGCGGCGTTTCTGCGAGCAGGGCCTGGCCGTATTTGCCGACCTGCGCTTTGACGACACGGTCAATTAGATCTTGCACCAGGCCGATGTCCAGGAGCAGAGTTTCGTCAAGGCTAGGGCGGCGAGCTGGAACGACTGGGTGGCCTCCAGCTTCGTCAACGGGGCCTCAAAAGCCCACGAGTTCTCGAAGGCACGAGCGCTGCAGCCAGCAGCCACAGCTCGAGCTGATCGATGGCTTCGTGGACGACCGGGCCACGACATGGGCCACCCACGGCTGCAAGAGCGTTCCGCTTCCGGGCGGTTTCTGAAGAGTGGCCGCAGCTACCTCCTATCGGCGGAAACGACGTCCGCCAGGTACTGCTCACGTTCGGCGAGGGCACCGCTGTGGGGCCGTCGCGGCTGGCGCCGCGGTCGCTGATCTGGCTTAGCAGCGATGGCCTCGAGACTATAGCCGAGCTTTGTACGAAGAGCGAGGCCCTCTGTTTGTGGCCCGCCGAGCGCATCACCACCGAGCTGGTCAGGCTCCCAAAGGCCGACAAGCCAGGTGAGCATCGCCTGATTGTGCTGCTGCACCCTCTCATCAGGGTTTGAGGGAGGTGAGGCGTCCTGTGTCGGAGGGGTGGGGGGCGGGGCAGCAGTCGGACCTCCTTTGGGGCTCGGGCCCCAGAGCAGCGTGGATTCCGCCGTTTCTCACAATCTCGAGGCGGAGATCGCTCGAAACTCTGGCCTTCACTGTGTCTCTGTCTTAATCAATATGACTAAATGCTATGCTATGATGTTGCACAGTGCCATCTTGGTCGAGGCTGCTGCGGTAGGATTTCCTTTGAAATTGGCTTGGATGCTAGTGTGTGTGTGTATACCGGCAGCCCCGCCTTAGCAAGGGATTTAACAGTGTGAGTGCCCCCCTGCACGTCGCACCAGGGAATTATGGCGGGGTGTTGCCATGCCACCACCGTGATGCAAGTCCTGCTTTTGAGGCCGCTCCAGAGACTTAAGCGCGAGCTTGAGTTTATAATTCCCCGTCGCCCCATGGGTGATGTATCATTCCAGTGGGTTGGCAAGGTGGCCAAACATGCGGGCACCGATTTCAATGCTGTAACTTACATTGCTAGGTACACTCGGCGAGCGGGGTTCTTGCTGCAGGCTAGCAAGTTCGGTTTCGTGGCATCCCCTGTAGAGGCTCGGAAGGTCCTTCAGGCCAGAGCATTGCGTTTGAAGCATAAGACTTTCACCACGGCGCGCAGTCTTGGCCATGACACGTTTGCGGGCGGCACTGCGCGCAGAGAGGAAGCGTTTGAGTGCGGCCTTGAGGTGACATGGGAGGTTGCGCGCTTTGAGGCGCTCGGGGGGCCTCGAGGTTCAAGATCTGCGGCGAGCGGGTGCGATGCCAGCAGGTAGTCGCGGAGCGGGGGTCAATGGGCTCACCCACTCCACTTTGATGTCTCTTCGATCGCTCTCGGGCGAGCTTTTCGGGGCCCGCGGTGGACTGTCTTCGCTCACTGTGTACGCTTGCACGCAGAGGGACAGGTTTTACGATGCCGTTGTTGATGCGACGTGCCGGTTGGTTTGCAGGCATGCTGGCTGGATCTGGGACGGCCGCGCCTCGCCTAGCCAGCTCCGGGCGGCCTGTACGGCCATGGGCCCAGGGGTCCTGGAAGAAGTGTTGCGGCCCTGTCTGCGCTGTGTTTTCATCTCGTCGGAGTGTCGGCTGGGACATGGCGGCGCCCCGCGCTTTGCTCTCGGACAGAGGTGAAGTTCTCTCGCTGTACGAAGTGGCCCCGGCACCCTGTTCAGAGATGGAATTGAGCGCTGGCTTTGGCGCCGCGTGCGTCACCATCTTCCCGAAGGGTCCGGCCAGGAGCAGATCTGGAGCCGGGCGTTAAGGCCTGGCGTGCTTTCTCTGCCCCCGGGGGCCCGCCAAGGTTCCATCAGGGCCATGCTCTCGGGAGGTTTGTGGCCACCTGCTTGGAAGCATGCGGCCTGCTTAGCTGAGTCCGCCAAGTGCTCTTTCTGTGACTGCCCGAGCGGGCCCCTGGGCCACCAGTTTTTCGACTGTCTACCGGCGTTCGAGTCTGGCGAAAGTCAGGCGGCAAGCGCCTTCCCCGACGATTTGTGGGGGCGCAGGCAGACTCTGCGGGAGAGGGGCATCTCCCCCCTCGGGCCTCCTGACTGGGATCGCGTTGACTTGTTGTACGGGTTTCCTCTATCCCCATCTCGATCCCGCCTCCCAGCAGCAGGCCAGCCGTGCGAGTTTGAGGCTTGGCTGATATCGAGTCAGGCCCTTCACTGTTTTCGGATGATTCAGGGCTTGCTAGCGCAGTGCCTGAGGCCACGCGCTGTGGATGGAGCGTCGTCGACATTTCTCCCGACGGGTGGCTGTTGAGGGCCAAAGTCGGGGCGCTCCCTGGTCGGGCCCACTCCGTCCCCAAAAGCGGAAAGATGGGGCTGGCCTAGAAGCGATGCGCTTCAGGGCCCAAGATGTCACAATAATCAGTAATCATGTGTCTTCTGTCCGTGAAGGCGAGCGATGGGGTCCTCGCCAGGTTTGCGGCATGGCAGCACACGCTGGATTCTCATGCTTTGCTCCGACCGCCCGTGGCCTCGCTGCGTTTGGACTCCCGCGCATCGGTCGCTTGAGGAGCGCAGGCGCTGCCTGGCCGTAACCATGACCCCAGCCAGTGCCAGGAGCTTGTGGAGGCCAGGGGCCAATTATGACCCGTCGCCTGTGCTTGCCGCTCTGGCCGCAGCGGCCGAGCGGCTGGGGTGGCGTCACCAAAGAGGGGACGGTCCTGCTGCTGCTGCCGCGGCTGGGGGTGGTGCTGCTGCTGCTGACGGGGCGGTGGGGAGTGGGACTCTCTTCGAATGTGAGGGCCAGAGGGTCCAGCGCTCGGGGCCATATTTGTCATGTGTTCGGTGTGGGGCTCGTGTGGCCATCGGTTCTCCAAAAATCGATGCCCTTGGGGAGGTCTGCCCCTCGCGCCCCACGATCCCCGCCCGCCGTCAAGCCGCCAAGCCAGGGACTGGCTCGTCGACGGGCGGCACCCGGCAACGGGGGTTAATGTTTAAGCTGTGTTTCAATGTTCACTTCAGCTCAGAGGTGGTATCGTGATTGCATGACTCCATGTTCTATGCTGCGTCCTGCGTCCTCCTCCTCCTCCGCCATCCTTCTCCTCGTTTTTTCATAATCCTCCTCCTCTTCCTCCTCCTCTTCGCCGTCCTCCTCTTCCTCCTCCTCCTCCTCCTCCTTCTCCTCCTCGTCCGCCTCGTTTTCTTCGTCCTCCTCCTCCTCCTCCTCCTCCTCCTCCTCCGTGCCCCACGTGCGCCCCCGCCACCAATTTTGGCACACCCCTTCACACGCTTCTTGGCCCCATAGGAACCTCCACCGAAGGCCCCAGTGGTGGTGCCCACATGCGCCCCAGCCACTCATTTCGGCGCGCCCCTCACGCGCTTTGTGGCCCCAGGGGGAGCTCCACAAAAGGCCACAGTGGCGATTGCC